AACCAGGTGACAATCGATGCTCTCGCGAGCAGAAGCCCGTTTTGTGCGGAGACCAATATCAATGCGAGTTTTCCAATGAGTGCTTGGCACAGGCAGCTGACTATGTGGATTGCATCTCTGCTTTCTGATGCGGCGTTCATTGTTGAAGTCTGCCAGAGAGAACCACAACGATACCAGACAGCTGAAGAAGCACAGATAGAATGTAGATCTATAACATTGATAATGCTTAGAAAGAAGAAGAATACATCAATCATGATCTTCACATAATGTTGGATGATACTAGCCAGTACCTCCGTACGGCGACAAGCAGAGGGGCAGCTTGAGAGAGTGGGGAAAGGCGACTGGTTGAAAAGCTGACCGGTCATCTACATCTTTTTTAAACTAGCCTACGAAGCCATCACAACACTCCCAGAGCCAGCACCCGACCGTCAAACACGGTCAGTCACCATGGAGTCGTCGCCACAGACATCCAATCCATCCAGAAAGTTGAGAGAAAATCATCCAAGTCGCTACGATCCAGGTATCGAACCCGATGGCGGAGCTCCAGGAGCTTTATAATGGAGCTTCTCGTGTGACCTTTCACAAAAAGCTTGTTCATGACTTGTTTTTCGTCCTCCGGAAAGTTCACATACCCACGGAAAAGCTTTGCTGATGTCTTGGTTAAGATGCTTGGCGAGTTAACTTCATCCCCGCCAAGCCAAATCCTCCTGGAAGCCAACGTGAGATGCTGAAGCTTTACGTTGGGGGAAGATTGCTGCACCTTCCACCAATGGGGCAAAAGCTTGTCTGCCTCGTAGTCAGATATCAAAACAATGCTGCCATCAGGAAAGCACAAGAAGGCGTTCACAGGTCGTAGATAGAATTGGCGTGACTTTATCCTCATGACAGTTGCCAAATAGTTGCGGGTGCACAGTAGCTTGCAGCTCCAGTTGATGTCCAGATTGACGGCATCCCTTACTTTGAGCAGTTCAGTGCCAAGGGGCTTGCCCGAGAACGCACTAGCATAATCCCAATCATTCTCAGTGCAAGGTGACATGACTTCAACCTCTTTTTCCTCCTCCGCTTCTTCTTCTCGCTCCTCTTCCAATTCTCGTTCGCACTCTTCTGATAGCTGTGATGCCTCAACAGCGGTCTTGTCACCGATATTCCTGCAGTATTTAACCAAGTCCGCCGAATGTTTTGAAAAATCGTCAACACTCTCGATTGTGGCGTCCAGGAATGATCCCATCGACTGGAACTTCTTCACTGCATCACCATACAAAGTAACCAGCGACACGTCCATATCTTGAGGCTTTGGGAACCTGAAGTGATTGATGCCTCGATCATACAGCTCCATTATTCCCTTCTCGATGGCTTTGGCTGAGTTCTTAATTGTTAGAATCAAGACGTCCTTCACAGTGCTTAGTGCGTCTAACGTTTCCGATGTCCCACCGAGGATGAGAGATTGCTCTCCTGGTTTGAGCTTGCGCATCCGAGCACATGCCTGCAAGAATCTATCTTTGGTAAGACCTGGTTCCAACGTAACTAAGGCACGAGCAGTGATGCGAAGCTTCAAGTCGGACCCACGGCACCGACTTTCATCGTAGAAAGCAAAACATTCGGCTGCGGTGAGGGAGGAAGTTTGGAGTGGACAGTGCACTTTGCTTGAGAGTGAATAAACATTCCAAGCATTGTCTTTGGTATCAAAGTAGACAACTCCACGAAACTCTTGCTGGTCAAGGATTCTTGATAGGAAGACAGCTGCATCAGAATTCTTTATTCCCGCCATCAGTCCACCCACATCAATCAGAGCATGCACGTCTTTTTCGGTGCACGTCTGTAGAACTGTTTTCCACAGTTCACCATTGTCAGGGAGCAAGACAACCTGAGATGTACACTCCAGAATTCGATGAAGCATTGCTCCATTAGTAGCTCTGAGCTCGGGCAAATCATGCTCAATCTGCCTAACGGATAATGGAAGCAGTTTGCGATTGTCTTCGGTTCCGGAGAATCCCACTGCATTGTGCTTCTGCACAAATGATACCAAATCCCATGCAGAAGTAACTCGGCGCTGGAGAAAAACGTGTGTCTCGAGTGGAAACGCGAAATGGTTCATCCAGTAGGAAACGACCCTCATGTTCTTCCGAAAGGCTTGGTACATCAGTTCGCGCTGAACCGTGTTGTCAAGGTCGACCTTTTGGATCGAATCAAATTTGGCAAGATCATTGGTGTCCACTGCACCGCCACGAACGCTGTCAATCCAGGAGTCGTAAATCTTGTGCTGAGCTGACGGTCCCTTCTTTTGCAGACAAACCATCGCCTCCCTAAACTGTTTCTGGTTGAGACCATGATGAAAGTACGCCAGGCAGGTGTAGATGATCTGCACATCAGGGTGGCTGTAATCAGAACGTGCTTTGGGGGTGTCACTTGCAGCGAATGGTACAGCCAGCTTTCCTCGCGACAAATCGATGCCATAGTCTACTCTGTGGCGTGCTTTTAAGCAATGAAAAAGCAAACCAAAAGCAATGCAGCTCCTTGCAGACAGAATATCAGCTTCTTTTTCAAATAAAACACGGCTTGTTTTGATTTTTTCCCTTGCCGGGCACTGATCATTGGACATGATGTCAATGAGCGGCTCAATTAAAGAATCGTCGAGATTTGTCATCCACGAAAACACATGAGGCGGGTTTTGAACAAGCTCTTTAGAGAGAGCTCTCCCTAGCCTTTGCTTGTGCTCCTCGAATGGCGCAAGAAGTCGTAGAGCAGGATACGCCCCCAGGTCGTGGTCTTCGGCGTGGACGAACGAAGGGTTGTCTCTAATGCCAACAATATCTGGGTTTGTGCTTTCAGCAAGAAGTTGGAGCAATGCTTCGACCATTGCCCATCGCGCAGAGCCATCAGGCAGATGCTCTTGGTCGCCCAAGGCGTAAACAAGCTGGAAAGATTGGTGAAGAATTGCGTCACACTCATCAATGATATCAATGGAGTCCAGCTGCATGCCTTGGACCAGTATGCCATGGTCTTGCTGTTTTAGCTTAAGAGAGTTCCGATGCTGTGGTGTGACCATCATGAAGCACTTCCCAACTTTACATCTCGCCACTTCTTCGGAAAGTACTTTGGAGTGAATCTCTTCGAGAGGGAAGTTGCGCTGGAAAGGAAGCATTATGATTCGAACATGCTGCGACGAAGCAGTCAAGACGTTCTTGTACATGCGTTCGACGACTGCAATAAGGGCCGAGAGCATGTTTACACGAACAATGCATGTACCTGAGTTTATGTACTCAAGGATGAGCATCGGGACAAGAACGCTCTGGATGATGGAGAGAGAGAAGAGAGAGGGTCAGCTCGGAAAGAAGGAAGCTAGTAAGTGAGTGTTTCAATCAACTTACAGTTTTCCCAAGCCCCATATTCAACTGGATGGTGGACTTGGGTTTGTCCATGAGCTGTTTGACTACATCATACTGGTACCGGCGAATCTGCAATCGCTGTTCCACCTCAAAAACTAGCCAAGGCAGATGATCCCATGGATTCCAACTCCTGACTGCGCGCAGGTCTTCCAAAATCTCGTTGTCGGAAGACGAGTTGACGATCCTGTAGAGCTTATCTTCCAGCACACAAAGTAGCATCCACTCAACTATATGCGCCCTTACTTCTGACAGCGTCGTAGCTGGGAGGAATGGGTTTACCTCCGCGAAGGCATTGACATCTAGGACGAGCCGAAGAAAATCGAATGGACCAGGAAGTCTGATACGCGCCGACAACACCGCAACTCGAAACTTATTGGACTCATGGTTTCTTAGAGTCTTCAGAATCTCATTCTCTTTCGTTCTTCTTTCAACTCTGGCATCATTTTTTGTGGCTTCCCACAGCGTCGGATCGCGGCGAACGTCATATGTTGGTAGAGAGCAGTGATCATTCCAACTCGACACAAGCCCTTCGTGGATTTCGCGCTCCATTCCTGAAGCATTGTCGCACAATTGAAGAGAAAAGGGAGGTCTCTTCCTTTTTCGACCACATGACAACAGGCATTGGTCTGTTAGGCGCCGTTCCATTTCTGCCACGAAACCTTGGGTTAGGTTCTCCTTCAATAGCATTATGCTGAGAGGGCCTTCATGAGTCTGTTTGTTTCGAGGGCATTGACTTGCTTGCTTGGTTCCAAAGAGAGTGCTCTCTTCATTTGGCAACAGCCTTGCTGCGTACGGACTCTCACGGTACTCACGTTTTGCAAGAGGGTCCATTTCCAATCCTGGAGGAGCACTATCATCCGCAGCCTCCATTGAAATTTCATCACTCAGGAATCCAAGCCGGTTTGAACAGCTCCAAACCCAAGAGCACATGATACGCAAGGTGCACGATAGATTGCTCAAGCTCGAAACCTCGATAAGCTTCTCCTTTTCAACTTGCGACAATTCCTGGTTTGTCCAGCAGTGTCGTACAAGGTCAACGGCAGTATCTGAGCCTGTTTTCATGGTGCGTTTGTCAGGAATCAAACAACCTGATGCAACATACATACATGCAAGATGCAGCCTTCCAAATGTGTCCTTGGCAACCAAATGGGAAAAACGGGGGTGCACGTCGTAGGAGTGGAAACTGCCTCGATAGTTCCATTCGCTACGACGAATGACGTTTCCAGAAGCGTCAACAAGGCCACAGGGAACCAAGACCTTCTCAATGCCGAGCTTGTCCGAGAGGACAAGGTAGGTCGTCACACCAGCCAAGGTGTCCTCAAACGTCTGTCGTGTCCTCAAAGAGAACCCTCCGAAATTTTCGGAATGCACTGTATCCGCCTTCTGGAGAAAGTTCATCCCAAGACGAGGCATGTGGTACCGGATGCTCTTCAAACTTGAATCAAGCCACGGAAGGATGTACTTGGGCTCTTCGACTCTGGACAAGACTTTGAGCATGTTTGGTTTTCGAAATAGAAGGCGATCGTATTTCGGAAGGTTGCCAACGATCAAGTCGAAGGGGGCAGCCATGTCTTCTGTGGGGACGAGATATAAGGCTTCCTTGGTAATCACAAACAAAACAGAACGCTCCTTGTAGGAAGGAGCACGAATCAGAAAGGCATCGTATCGCCTCGAATACCAATGACTGTATGGCTCTGACAACAAAAGCGGGATCTCAAACTTTTCCCTGGGTACCAGGACGAGCCCATCACGCGAAAGATTACTTGAAGGGTTGCTTGATGCTTGTGGGGGCGGCGAATTCTGACCTTGTCTTGCCGTAGCGGAAATCGCAACCCGCCACGACCAAACAGGCGATAACTTTGGCTCCGATCCAACGCCGTCGCGCGTGTCGTACTCAATGATATCCAAGTGATTCTCTTGATGAAAGACAAACTCATAGAGGAAAAAGTCATCAATCAGCCTGCTGGTTCTGAAATGGTCTACATCAACCACAATACACTCAAAGTTTCTTGACCCAAAAGTCCTCTGATAGAGCTGATTGGTCACAATGGACGATGGTAGGAAACCAGGGGGGACACCATCAACCAAGACAGTACCATTGAGAACATTGATAGAGTAGTGATGCTCTGCTTGCGCTTCAAAGCAAGCAGTGCTTGCGACATCAGGGTATCCAATCTTTGTCCAAAGGAGCTTGTTGGGCAAATCATCGATGACGAGTCCAAGGCACCTTGTAAGGCAATCCAAGTTTGCTTCGATAGCTTTGAGAGTAGCCTCGATGTTTCTTGACATTGTGCAGTGCACTGCGTGTTGCAGTTGGCTAGCGTGCAATTCTTTGGCAGCAAAGAGCGACTTGTATTGGAACAGAACAATCAACTCTACCAGATTCAGCAATCTGGCTTCGTCCTGGTCCCTCGGGCAGTGAGAAAGCAAACCATATCCATACAGCCGGGCTTGCTTCCAATATAGGTCAGGTGCAATTTGTTCCCTACCACGTACTTCTGCGTCAACATGGTCGCCCAGCGCCTGCAGTATTCTTGTGAACAGTCTGGAACAATCAAGGCAACGCTTGTTGTACTGACCAAAAAAAGAGCTCACAAGTCCAAAAAGGAGAATCTTCACCATGTTGTTTGGCGACTCCTTCAAGAGATCCGCCTTCCCGAAGAGCTCGCTTGCAATTTGATCATAGAACACAGAGTCCAAATCGTGCTTCCAGCTTTCGTCTCCAACATGGTAGAGAAGTTGTCTCACCAACACATGGACGCGTTCGTCCCCAAACGGCAATAAATCATCCACCATTGCACAAAGCAAATGCCGCAATTGTATGTTTGGGAATGCCCTCATAGTTGCAAACATCAGATATTCTTCGTAGGCAAGCCAGTCAGGCTTTTTAGTCTTCGTCGCAATTCCTTCATTGCCTCGTGTTCGGCTTGGCAGCATCACGAGAAAGCTCTGCAAAGTGGCCGACTCGTTTTGTGGTAGGCTCTCGGTAAAATACCGGGCGGTATCCTGTTGGCTTCGGGTAGGAGAGAAGGGATCGGTTGTGCGCCAATTGGGAACCAGAGTGTACGAATCCGGAAATCGCACCCCCGTTTCTCTCCCGTAATCACGAATGTCAACGGAATCCACAGGGGAATTGAATGCCGTGGTTGTGCTGCCCAGAACCATCTTTCCATCCAATGAGACAGGGTTGTCGCTGGTCGTTTTGTACTTATTGAACCAATTACTCAAGATCTGAGTTGGCGGCGGCGGCGAAGGCGGAGTTCTGTTCCACATTTGAGTTGCGGCAAGGTGGGCCAACGACAGGACATCAACAAACTCGGAAGGCATGATTAGCAAGAACAACCATTGCAACGCCTTTTGCTTATTCCTTGGCAAAGCGAAGAAAACATCTGACGGCCTCGCTTCAAGGCGTCTAACCTTTCCCTTCAGGTCGTCGACAAGACGAATAGCCTCGTTACGAGCACATTCGTACTGGTGGTAGGTAGATGTATAAAAAATCCTCCCGTAGATACCCGTTGTGTAGTCTCGGCTTCGAGAAGTATTCAGAGCTGTTTCTGCAGACCTCAGTGTGCTCTCTGCTTGCTCCAGTTGGCTATCAAGGGCACGAAGTTCTGCTTGGGTCTTTTGGATTTTTTCCCACCGCTCTTCGATTCTGCGGTCGGCAGCAGAGAGTTCACGATCATGTATGGACCTGACACGGGCTCCCCAATCGTTCCAAGCATTTCCCATTGACAAGGCGAGATCCAGCGTGTCGCTTGGGTTGCGGAAGGGGACCTTTGTCGAATGCCTGTGCTGCTTCAGAAACAACTCTACTTTCTTCAACGCTTCGATGGCATCCGCCTCTTGCAACACCAAGTAGCCGAGATCATTAGGATCCAAACCTGCTGAGTAGCCGCTGAAAAGTGGATATTTCTTCTTAGCGATTCGGTGTGCCCAGCAGTAGGTTATCCATATCACCAGCATCTGGCAGCTTTGTAGCTCCACGGTCATCAGACTTGCACAGCCCTTTGACTTCTGCAAAGCTAGCGACGTCGCTTTTATATGTGTTTCCATTTTGCATTTCAAGACATGGACGTCATGCGATTTCCGTGACTCCAGGAGATCTCCTGCGTAGCACCAAAATTCCTTATTGATACGGCCAAGAGCAACCCAAGCATCCTGGGTGCCAGTATCTCCAACAAAGCGAGTGACCATCAGGTCGGACCACTGAAGATTCTTCTTTGCCTGAGCTTGAGCTCTTGCCATCCGAGTGCCATAGTCGGTGTCAGTTGTCCCACTGGACACCTTCGGAAGCGAAGGGGGCTTCACAGCTGCGCTCAGATCCTGAATCGAAAAGCCCTGGGGGGTGGCACACATCGTCGGGTCACTATCTGGGCTAAGCGCCTTCAATGCACAATGATGCGCTTCTAGCTCTCGAACAACTACCTCCTGGAAACTCTTACACGCGACTTTCAAAATGTAGCGTTCAATCTCTCGAATCACAATGACGCACCGGTCGATCTTTCGTTGATCAACAGTTGTGACTTTGCCACGAATGTTCCTGTCCGTTCAGAAATTCAACCTTGAGTCACAACAAAGTTCTCAACATGCAAAGATACTCCAGAGCCCCCGCTCTCACAGTGCGGTTCCGGTACATACCTGAGGTGGTGTAGAAAGTACATACAAAGCATCTTGCGAAACGAGTCATGGTCCTCATCGAATTCATAGAGATACAGCATGGAGGAGTATACAGACGCTACCAAAGGAAACGAGGTATTCCTCTGAAGGCAGTTTGTGTGCTTGCCAACATCTGTTGTTCCTCCTTGGTAACTCTCTTTAATAACGCACACGGTGCTCCCAGGCAAAGCCTTCGCCTGAACAATGGCGTCCAGGAGCCTTGCCCACACAAATGACGGGGTCTTGTGATGTTTCTCCCTTGTAAACGTGGATTGCGCCTTTTGCATCAATTGGTGAAAGATTGCAATCACATTGGAGCATAACTCCTTCCCTACAGTTCCAACTTCTAGAACAGAAGGACTCAGAACATTCGGAATTGCTGTGGATTCACGTCCATTGACGGAGGAATGAACCTTGTCATTCCATTCGTTTAGGCCGATGACAGTGATTGTAGTGGATAGCACGTCGAGGTCCTTCATCAATATGGCACATCCATAGGGAGCCATCCATTTAACGACGACTGACTCCTTGAGCTGCTTTAGATCTGCCGCGATAAGCCTCGCATCATCTTTGAAGATAGGGAGAGAAACAGATTCCTCCACCGCAGAGAGGAAATGGTCGTAGAGCTGAGCGCACACCTCATCTGACTGGATCTGAAGGGCCGTTCGATCGTTGAAATCAAAGATGTTGTCTTCCATCGTCGCCGTCTGGCAAGCCACTTATTATTAGTTAGGAAAAGAAGTCCTGAAACTCCTAGGATCCGTTAATCTGCTCATCAATGCAGATGCGGTGGTCTGAAAACAGTTCGAAACCATTCACAAACGGCACACGGCTTGCGCCCTCAGATTTTCATGCGAAAAATGAAAATTTCACCACGAGCATACAGGTAGGTATATGTGTTTCCTGCGAGTGACGGTCACAGTCTGATGGGTCGAGTCGATGGGTCGTTCATGCAGATCTATTGCATACATCGTAGCTAGGTGCAGCTCAATTAGCATGCGTGTGTAGATTGTAACGTTTAGTACATTGCAGTGCTGCTTTTCTGAATCTTCAAGATTCTATCATCCGCCTGCACTTTATGCCTTACTTCGTTTCGATTTCGGCTCGGATCTTGAACCGCCTCCACCATTGCTATTCTGGCGCTGATTTTGTTGTTGCGGATGACGATTCTGCTGTCCATCCTTCTTTTGCCCCCTTTGAAAGACGTCCAACATTGCTGCCTTTTCCATGCTGTCGGACCGTTCCGCCGTGAGAGTGTCGATATCGTAGAGTGATTTCAAAATGCTGCTGCCCTTCTTTGGCGCTTTGGTGTAGACGTTTTCTTGTCCCACTTGCATGAAACACCGCCGAAAGAGGTCGATGCAATGTCGGAGCAGATATGTGGCCGACATGTCAGCTGCGTAGCCACCCTCACAGCATTCTAGTACAGCGTTTTGAGTCAAAAAGGTGCGGGCTCGACGGTGGCAATTGTCCAATACTCCAATGCCCCGTTTGACTTGTCCATATCGATGCAGAAAGCTCAAGAAGACTTCGCCTGGTCGATCGGCTCCTCCTAGCTCCAAGTGATTCTCTAACTACTCAACGCATCCAAGTGGGGGAAAGGATTTAGGGAATATCGTTCAAGATCAAATCGAACAATGTAAAACGATAGATAGCAAAACTCACGTGATGCGCCACCAAGACATAGAGTTTGTAGCTTCCCAATCCTCCGTGGAATGGTATGTCGAGACCCTGCTGCCACAGCATGATCTTCAATGCCATGACCACCGTTGCAAAACTGCATACCGATTCATATATAAAGGATCATGGTGAGAATAGAATAACGCAGTACACTTCAACCTGTTTAGTACAACCCACCTTTTGAACCGCTGCACTTGCGACATGGCAAATTGACTGGTATCGGTTCCATTGTGTCCTCCCATGGCGACATCTCCTTCGAACCCTAATTTGGTTTGGAACTTGACAATGGGCACTCGTGCTTTGCGAATGACCGTCACAGACTTTGTGAATTGTCGACGTCGCAATATATTCCCGAGGCTGTTCAGCACATTGACCACTTCGGCTCGAACAGCTCCGGAAGGCCCAATCGTCGTGTTTTTGCCATTATTAGTAGGGTGAGCGACAAAGGAAACTTGCATGTCATCCAAGTCATCATCTTCTTCATCGTCGTCGTCTTCATCATCCGACGATAGGCTAATGACAGCCTGCTCGGTTCGATATTCCTCCGCTGGGCGTTTGGCAGCTGCTGGACTACTACTAGTATGCTTTCGTGTCTCGAGCGATGCCAATTTGTCGGCAGTATCGTCTTCACTGTCACTGCCAGAATTGTTGTTGGTTTCGTTGGTTGCTTCTGAAAATGTTCGCTTTCGATTTGTTGTTGTAGCGTCTGTTTCCTCAGTCGGTGCTTCCTTCAGATTCCCTTGTTTCTCGTCTGTTTTGTGGACTTTGCTGCCAACTACATCGTCGTCTGCCTTGTTGTTGGCAACTTCGATTTCTGCATTCTGGTTGTTTTCCTTGGCCTTCCATTTCTTTTCTTCCTCCTCTTCATCAATACCAACTCGATCCAGAACGAAAAAGTCCCCCGCGAGAGCCTCCTGCGAAGGTTCTTCTTCTTTGGCAGGTGATTTGGCAGTTTCTTCATTTTGGACGGCGGGTTGTTTCTCTGGCATAATTTCATCCACCGAAACCATTCGGACGGGGCTCTTTTTGGTCGTTTCCTGGTTGCCTGGAAGTGCATCGACATTGATAATTTCGGGTTCCTTTTTGGCGGCTGGTTTGGTATCTTCTGGTGACGAACAGCGCGTGAGATCAACGACCCGATCGGCAGACCGTTTCTTCTTGCTGGGAGTGTCGGGTCCTTCATTGGCTCCATCGAGCAATTGATCCAATGCCGATTGCCAGGCGTCGTCCTTTTTTTCTGGCTTGTCGTCGCAGTGTTGTTGTTGTTGCTGTTCCAGGAGGTCCTTCCACTTTTGGACTCGGGCAGCCATTTGGTGGTTGTCGGTCTCTGAAAACCGCGTATGCTTGGCTTGCGCAGAACTGCTGTTGTTGTCGTGTGGTGGTTGTTGTTCCGGTGGAACGAGTCCGTAAATGGCGAGATCGACATCACTGCAATAGGCACAGACGGGGAGTGTGGCAAAGGAACCAAAGACGTGGACTCTGATTTCATCGGATTTCTTCTCCTTGGCACAGTCGAGATTGGTGCGAGAGACAGTTTCAATACTGTTGACAATAAAGTGACGCGCGGCTTGTTCTGACGGAGAGAGTTGCACGTAGTTGGCAAAGGATACCAACTCGGTGTCCAGTTGCGAAAGCCATGATTCGTGGGGTGGTTGATTGCCAAACAAGTAGTGGCGTTTGGATTGTGGTGATTGTTGTTGTTGTTGTTGTTGTTTGAGCTCCTTTCGAGACTTTTTGAGCCATTGCGTCCGATCGTCGTTGGTCCACCACGGAATCTCGCAGCCTTTGGAGTTGTAAATTTGCTTGAGTTGAAATTGAGAAGATGGTCGCGGTCGACTCGTATTGTTGGGACGTTTCCCTGCTCTTTGACGGGCGTGAATGGGAGATCCATCAAACAATATGGAAATATTGTTGTTCTGGTTGTTGTTCTGGTTGAAACGACCCGGAGATGTCTTGTTCTTTTTGTGTTGTTGTTGTTTGCGATGCGGAGACTCATTGTTCTGCTTGTTCTGTTTTCCATTCGCCTTTCGATTGGTTTTCAGAGGTCCAAACAAACTGGCCACTTCACGACGATTGGCTTGATCCCGTTTCTTTCGCGCTGCCTTTTCTTGTTGAATCAATGCTTTCTTGGTCTGATTCGATTTCTTTTCTCGTTTCGATGCTGTCCGAGGAGGCGCCACGGCCACTTTGGGAGTGTGATCGTTCTTCTTTTTGCCCTGACGAGCTTGGTTCTTGCTTCGGGCCATATTCTTTGTTCAATCAAGCAGATCTTGGAGCAACGATGCAATGCAATGCAATGACAGTCACCGGAATTCTCACTTCCACAAGCAAGCACAAACCCGTGGGATGAAGATTGTTGTTCTTGCCTTCGTCGTCGTCACCCTGATTTGCAATTTGAGAAAAGTTGAGTGGCTCAAAGGATCGAAAGGTTATTTGGGCGCGCAGTTTCTCCAAAAGTGGCAGACAGACCAACGGCTCATTCGTTTTAACTCAGCGCAGCTGCCATTATTTACACCCTGGATTTGGAATCGAATGAGAATCCTTCACTTCTTCCTCACAATTTCGATCAAAGGCAAATCTCAGAAGCTACTAGTACCTGGTATTAGCTAGGACCTCTACATGTACTACTAGCTAGCTAGCTAGCTGACATGTATCAATAGTAGCTAGCTAGTCATATTCGACTGGTAACACCCCCACACCCATCGGAAACACACCAACCCCCTACTGGTAACAGTGATCGGATCTCGGGTAACTGACACCCAACTGCCGCCAACTCCCTGGGAGAAACCTGGAATGCTGGGGATTCCCTGTACGATCCTACACTCCCGGTACTGGCAGAAAGTGCATAAGTAAGGAAATAAATTTAGCTCTAGACAGCATTTTGAATCGGCCTAAGTACCCAAGTCACATAGGCAACAGGTCTCCCGCCAATAAACAGATCCATGCATTATGGCGCCCCACATCTTTCTCATGATGTACAGAAGTCGAAGCTTCCTTCTAAGAAAAAAAAAAGAGGGATGTTGCTTCCTTCTAAGAGATGACAGTCGATATTTAGTTCTGTCTCTTTTCAGTACCATGGCCACCATTATCAAAGGCAGCAATCGTCCTTTGGGTGATGAGGAACTGAGAGGTGATGATCTGCCATACCAGACAGAGGGAATCAACCAGAAGACGAGCCAGAGTGTTTTTCCATAATCCAAACAACAATCCGAAGAAACATCA